ATTTATGAGTAGCAAATTCATGGATGTCCCTTGAGCATTTGATGTTCAAAAAGAGATAAACACTCTCCTAACTTTGGGTTTAGGAGAATAAGAGGATTTTCTACAACTTTTGGATTGTAGAAAGGGAGAAGTGAAGTGCAACTAATGGATTGCAAGTTGGAGGATGGATCATTGAATTTTGCCTTCAAAGAAGCATGATTATTTACCAAATTTATGTTAGGTAAAGGGGAAGACAATGTGCAACTTATAAGTTGCAAATTGGAGGAATTTCTTTGAGCATTTGTTGTTCAAAGAAGGAGATATACACTCACTTAATTTAGGCTAAGTGAATTGGGAAGGAAGAATAAGATTTGGATCCTAGGTATAGGAGGTTATGTTCATTTGTGGACTTTGTGTTCAAACAAATGAAATGAAAGAACCTAAGATTGTGTTCTAAGTCCAAGAGCCTCATGCAATAAATATTGAAGCTTTGGAGGACTTCAAGTTACTATAAATGCCGACCCCACGTAGTGGGATAAAGGCTTGATGTTGTTGTTGCTGTGGAGGACTTCAAGTTACTATACATGAATGGGAAATAATGTTTGTTTGTTGATATTACAAATGAAAGAATGACTTAGGATTTGGTCCTAAAGTCTTGAAAATTCATGTAATAGAACATTTAGAGCTCTGGGAATGCAGCAAAATATCACACATGAGAGGAGGGGAGCATTAAAAAGAGCCCCTAATGTATACTAGGATTCATGCAGTCTAACAATTGGAGCTTTGAGGATGCTCCAAGCATCATGCATGAAGGAGGTGTGAATGTGAAAGAGAGTTCCCCTATTCTTTTATGAATGTTTTGGATTTATTTGGAGAAGGGAAATATACACCTAAGGCTTCGAAAATGACTCCAAAATCAATTTTGGCATGATTAGGAGATTTGGGTAGGAGAGGTTCATTCCTACAACTTCTAAGGGGTTCTAAAGATCAAATTTGATGTGATTTAAAGAACTTAGAAGAGTATGGATGCATAAGTGATTCTCCAATTTTTAAGAATTTTGACAATTGAGAGCAATCAAGTTTTTATTTTGCAAAATTTCGTACCTAAACTTAATTAACAATGCATATTGTGGGATTTACAACATAGACTCTAGAAAGTCTATTGGAGATCTCACAATAATTTGGTGCATCTGGGTTGATTAAATTCATATTCAAACACTCACAAAATTTCATGCAAGTCTATAAACTTCAACATATGCACATTCATATGCTTAAAGATCATTTTTTTGCCATGATCTATGCATAAAAGAAGAGAACATACAATTGATCAATGTTGCAAGTTTAAGAGCTCATATGCTTAGATTGCTTGCCATTCAGTCAATTAAAGATAGTCATTCCACAATCTAAGTTTCATGTGATGCGAAATATATAAATTTCATCGATCATTCATGTTGTGAGATTGCTAAATAGACCTTTGAAGGCCTATGTCTCACAATGGCTAGAGAGCCTACAACAACAATAACAACAAGCCTTTATCCCACTGTGGGGTCGGCCACATGAATCCTTTTTCTCCATTGTGAAATATTAAGATTCAAATTCTCATCTAAATCTAACAAAGAAAGATCATTTCTAATATTTTCTAACCAAGTCTTCTTAAGTCTACCTCTACTATTCTTAACATAAGTCAAATCTAATACATCAACATTCCTAATCGGGCTATAGGAAGGCCACCTTTTTATGTGACCAAACTATCTAAGGCGACTCTTTCTAATCTTATCTTCGACTGGAGCTACTCCAACCTTTTCACATATATGCTAATTTCGTATTATGTCTCTACGAGTAAAGCCACTCATCCACCTGAGCATCCTCATCTCTGCAACACTTAATATTATGCTTCTCTTTTAACGGCCAACACTGCACCATAAAGCATTGCAGGTCTCACTACCATCTTATAGAATTTTCCAATAAGTTTGAATGGTACTTTTTTATCACACAATATACCCTCCTTATTCTCTCTATACTTCTCCATCAAATCTCTCAATAAATGTATAGCTTCCATAGTAGACCTGCCTGTATAAATCCAAATTGATTTTATGAAACATTAGTATCACACCGCTATCTATGCTCCATAACTCTCTCCCACACTTTTAAAGTATGACACGTAAACTTAATTCCTCTATAATTTGCACAATATTGTGTATCACCTTTATTCTTGAAAATAGGAATCAACACACTCATTCTCCACTCCTCTAGCATCTTTTTAGTCTTCAAAATAATATTAAAAAGTTTAGTAAGCTGCAAAATTCCTTCATCTTCTAAGCATTTTCACACCTCTATTGGAATATCATTAAGTCCAACAGCTTTTCCACACTTAATTTTCTTTAAATCCTTTTTAACTTTGATTTTACTAATACGCCGATAAAAACAAAATCATTATTTTTATTTAGGGTGCTAAGGTCACTAAAGTCAATCGAATTCTCATAATCTTCACTAAAAAATTTAGCAAAATATCTCATCCACCTTTGTTGAATATTCTCTTCTAATAAAAATATTTTTTGATCTTCATCTATAATACACTTCATTGAACTAAATCCTTACTACTCCTATCTCTTTGTTTAGCTAACTTGTACATATATCTTTCACTCTTCTTAGTATCTGATCTATTATATAAATCATTAAAAGCTAAAATTTTTGCATTGCAAATTGATTTCTTAGACTACTTACTGGCATCTTTATATACTTCCCAAATATCATAATTTTTACAACTAAATTAATTTTTATAACAAATCTTCTTATTTTTATCCTTTCTTGCACATTTTGATTCAACCACCAACAATTTTTACTATTAGTAGCTTTTCTCTTTAATACTCCAAGCACATCTTTTGCAACATTCTTAATATCACTGGCTATTTTTTTCCCACATAACATTAGATTCTTCTAGAGAACCTAAATCAATTAAATTTAAAACATGCATTAAATAAAACTCTAGAGGAAATTAATTTCAATACATGTGAGCACTCCTAAATCGGTATGTCAATTTTGTCATGACAATACATTTAAGTGAGAAGTGCATACAACTAATAGCAATCCAAAACCTATGCATCATCATTGAATTTGAGATCCAATGATGGCATCTACCCTAGGACATAATTGTAAGAGATGGATTGGACATAATATGAATGAGTTACATGCAAGGTATTGGTGGGGGCAAGAAATATAGGGAGCCTATACCCCCTCGCCCGCACAGGAGATACGAACACCGAAACGACGACGAAACGACGAAGGAGGGGATGAACAAACTCTTACATTTCAAATTAAACTAAAAAGAAGAACTTAAAAAGAACCTTACAAACGACGACGACTTGCAAACTTAAAATTAAAGACGACACCCTAAAGTTGCTGCACTTGGAAGAAAGATAAAGGTGGAGTGGCGCTTGCGGAGAGACGAATAGATTAGAAGCCAAGAAGAAGGGTGAAAAGAGCCCGCGGGATTTCCGGAGGGGATGAGAAAGAAGACGGACAAAGCTCACAAGCATATCCAAGCAAACCCGCAGGTTATAGCTTTTCCAAAAATAACATTTCATTCACTCTTTTAAAACAATACAATACCCCCCATATATAAAGGTATGAAAGGGGAAGACCAAAAGACACAAAACATTAACTTCCACTAGAACCTAAGCATCATATGCATGGAATCCCCCCCATACTTTACGGAAAACAGCCCAAACACAGGAACCGAAGCAGCCACCGCGGGAGACAAGGAGGCCGCACGGAACCGAGGAGCCACAGCCACGGGAAAGAGCCCAGGCGCGGAAAACCAGCAGCCGGCAGGAAATCCAAGAGGCAAGGCACGGAAAACAGTAGCCCAAGGGAGGAAGCCAAGGAGTCACTGCATGGGAAAAGACATTTCTTGGAATTCCAAAAGCCGGTTTGAAATTCCAAGAGACCTACATAATTAAAAATATAAAAAGCATAAAAAGTACATATAATATAAGATAAATATGAACTAAAACTTAGCTAATAACGAGCTAACCCTTAGTTCAATAAATGAACTAAAGACCAGCTCATAAATGAGCTAAAATTTCAGCTCAAAATGATTGAGCTTGTTTAATTTCATGTTATTTACATGTTTATTTCATGTAATGATTTAATAAGGACATGGTAGTTGATGAAATCTGCATATGTAAACTCATCAAAATCACACAAAGTGATAAACATTACAATTGTTCTATTACATTTTGCTTTGTTTTGGATTTTTGTGTAAAACATGCCTATGATAAAGGCTTTTATATGAACCAGATATATTCTATAGTATTTTATTAGGATTAGACATACGGAAAAGTTTTGACTTAGCCCATTAAATTCCATGTCAACGCATCTAGAGTGCAGAGTAAATTCAACAATTACTGTGATGAGAATTAGAAGGATGCATGCTAATGGACTATTGCACCTTGTTTCATGTTATTGGTTTCTCATACCCTACCACCAATCGGTTTCTTCTTGCTATTTTGCCTACCCGTTGAATCCTGTACATGCCACTACCTCCTAATGTTTTAACCTAAGTTTTCTGCTTCACTGCTTCCGGCTACTTTTGGCCTTTACTACCCACTGTTACTACTGTAGTCGCCTTTGCTACTCAATATTCATATTGCTTGCCACCTCTATTCCCTTCTATTATCGTTGCTACCTTCATTGAATGTTAAAACCATTGCAATCGCCCTATAGCCCATGATTTAAGGATGTGCCCACTCCTAGTTGGGCACTATTCAATTAACTATTTTGATGTCTCTGCGATTAAATAAAAAAGTGGACTTTACAAATCAAGAGAAAGAATTTCTATGAGAGATTTGATTGGCTAGACTTTGTATGTTTTTGAGGTCAATTCCTTCATCATGTATATGTTGCCGGGCTATACCATCTTCTGAATCTAGGGTATGACAGCTATGCCATTCCTTTTTATCAATAGAAACAAAAAGGGCAAAAGTAATACAAAAAATTCAACATCAAAGAAAAAGCTGTACCAGGATTTCATCTTTGTAACTTGAAAATGCTGCCGCTAGGTCTTGTATATTGCTTATAATGGCACTATGAACTTCAGTACCTCCTATCAAACAGAATCTGCAAATGATTAAGGAAGAAAAACTTAGATTGATCCTTGAATCATTAATCAGCCTTTTAAACCTAAAGCATCTTTTATCATTTCCCACCATAAAAGCCATAAAAACCAGCCCAAAGCTTCTAGAATGGAACTACAACACACGTGATGAAAACATTATCAAACATGTATGGGATGTAAAACCCGGAATTCGTGATTTGAGTGCGTCGCACGCATATCGATGCGCCGCGACGAACTTAAGTGAAAATTCGATGTCGTCGGAATTCGACGAAATAAATTTTATTAAATTCGTCTCGAAATTTCGATCGAAACGATATAAAGGACTTATATCCAATTTCGCACGGATTTGGAATTAAAATTTGCCGAAGTGTGTTAAGTAACTTTTGCCCTTATTTTCCCGTTTTACCCTTCATGAGAAAATAGGATGACTTAAAGGAGAAGGGTACATGCATAATTTTACTTCCTAAATCTCCTTAAGCCCCCTCATACGCCTAAGGGACCGAACATTTCGGTCCCTTGTTGTTTTCTTCAGCCACACGCGAGAGAAAGGGAGGAGTGGCGACGGGAGAGCTCGGCAGGCGAGATTCCGGTGAAATTCCGGCAAGGGTCTTTAGGAAAAGCGTAGGGGAAGACTTGAGGTAAGTTTTTCTTAAAAGAAATGGAAGTTTTCATGAGATTTTTGCATAGAAAAATTCTAGGGTTTGCTATTTTTGGGATTTCTTTAGAAAACCTTTAGGGTTTGCTTTGATCTATGTTTTCCTACCATTCATGTCAAATTTGTTTTAAGAAAAACACTAAATCCGAATTTTAGGGTTTCTCATTTTAATGAAATTTTTATAGGAATGGCTAGAAGAGTTTAAAGGAAGCCTTTTGGTATCAAAAATATGATTTTTCTTTTAGCGAAATTGAGTGGAAAAATTAGGGAAAGTTTAGGATTTTTCCAAACCTAATTTTTATAGGTTGCATGTTCCCTAATTGAGTTCCTAAGGGCATAAGGAAGCCTCTAATTTTGAAATTGGAGAGAAAACTATTTTTTCTAATTTTTATTTAATATAAATCCAAAAATTAATTAATATTATTTATCAATTAGATGAATGGGAGGTTTTGGCATGCCTAAGGAATGGAATTGGCAAAATGTGAAAGCATAATTTTGGAAATTATAATAAATCCGAAAATAATAATTAATTTAAATAAAATTAACATGTTAAATATTTAGATGTAAGTAATTGAGATTGGAAATCTCTTGTTTTCCTTAGGTTGGAATAAGGAAAAAGAGGTGAGGGCTTGTACGGGAAACTTTCAAAGCACGGCTTCTTAAGGGTAAGTGACTCTATTTGCTAAGGAAAGTGTGCATTTCATTATAACTATATTGGTTGCAAAGAAGAAAAAAAAATTTATTGTTCAAAGCTCTTATGTCATGTTCATGCAATGGTTACTTAGTAGTTTTATTTAGTGTTAAAGGTCCTTAGCATATCATATGAATTTCTTAGCATATCATATGAAAGCATCTTATCATATTCATGCTACATAGCTTGTGATTGTTGATGACGGAGTACCAAGATGTGGCTCTTTGAGCAAAGACGGTCTTAGAGACAATATGGAACGAAATGAAAATGTTATGGCCATGAATGATGTGTACTTGATCAGTACAATTCGGTACTCCGGGACGGATGTATACAATATGAATAGAAAGATGACCATATGCAAGTATATCTCATGTTATCTCATGTTAAGAAATCATATTTCATATTATCTCATATTAGATAAGCATAACTCATGTCATGTTCAATACGTAGTCAACTTATACTTGCTTCAAGATATACCTTAAGACATCTATTAGCACATGTGTAAGTTATTAATCCGCAAATTCTTTTCTTTTAAATGTACACGAACTTTAGCTGTAGTTGTCACATACTGAGCGTAGCTCACTCCCTAGTTTTGGGAAATTTTCAGGAGAACCCTCTCATAAGTGATGGAGAATCACCCGAGGTTTACTTATAGTCATCGCGCAACGGGTGACAGGTTCTTACTGTTTTTTTTAGTTATCAATTTTTGGGTGGTTTTATCATAAATGAATAGATTAAGTTTATACCACCTTGTACATGAACTTCTTTTTGTAATGGTTTGAATGTTATATACATGTTTTGGAAAAAGTTTTGAGGCGCGTTTATATTCATATTGAAGTCATTTGGAAAATGTTTTATTTGAAATATGATGATTAAATCGTTTTGATCGTTCGACTTCGTTCCCGCCTCGTATATAAGAGCTAACAGGGCCGGGTCGTGACATGGGAAGCCCTCTATTGTTAATAAGATACATCTTATGTGTAAATTTTTAATCTCAGGATGTCTGAAAGTGCCTCTATTGTTAAACACATCAATGATTTGAACTTGATCACAAATCAGTTGAGCTCCTTGGACATCAACTTTGATTATAAATTTATGTCTTAACTTTAATTTCATCACTTCCCTAAAGTTAGAATGGCACACAATAGCTATAAGCGTCTCTTATGGATCAAACAAATTAAAGCTAAATAATATAATGTGGGTTCCGAAAATTCACGCACATGCCTCTTTAAGCTTTTTTTTTTATGAGCAGAGTTCTAACAAATTAGGTTCTGGTATAAATTTTCAAAAAATAAATTAGATTTTAGATAAGACACTACCCAAAGATTTCATCCTCATTTTGCGAGGACTTTATGATATGAGATTAGGTTTCTCAAAAGTGCAGGCCCCTATAGTTAATTATCCCTCCTAATAACAAGAAACCACTTTCGATTAAGGCTAGTTATTAAATACCCAGCGTATAGTAGCAACAACTTTGAGGTTTAGATTTTGAATTTTTTAAATTTTGAAATTTATCATCATACACTTAAAGCAGGTGATGGAGGAATGATAGCAGGCCTGATCAAGATCCCATGGTTCTGTTGTCCTAGGTTTTCATAGTCCCTAGTCTACTTAGTTAGAGGACATAGTCAACCCAAACTAACAGAAAGAACCTTGTTGGCAGCCATGGGTTGCTTCGATCAAGAATACCTTATAGACCCAAAATGGATGTTTGTCTAAGAGGATGAATTCGAGTTAACCTTAGCTAATATAGGGTTTTATATCTTATCGAACACACCCTACAATTCATTATTCAACGGGTTTTTAACTATTAAGGAACATACGAGCTTTCGCCATGACCTTTATACAATGGTGTCATTTCGCGACAAAACCACCCGATCAAAGGGCACGTGTCACATCCGTGCTGGCATGAAATCAATTAAAAATATATTGTAATAATACATTTAACAAGACATCTGCTCTTTATAAACCAAAGTTATTCTTAAATTCATCATCCTTGCCAAACAATTGCGAAGTGTGAATGGATTTTGGTTTTAAACTTCTGGTGATGGATTTCATTTTAAAAATTTAAACTCTTAGTAGTTAGTAGGATTTGAATTTAGTTTTCTTCTAAATGAATGAATGACTTTAGAATTTTGAGAGCATTTTGAAAATTAAATATCTCTCTCTGATTTAAATTTCCTGTCAACATTGCTATCGGGGGTTTGAGCACTTTTAGCAAATTCTTGAAGCATTCTCAAATCTAGCATTTAGGAGTTTGACGTAAAGATCAAAGCACATGTGGAACTTTACATATTGTATTTTGTACTTCCATTACACTCATATAATATAATTTGCATTCTCACTACATTTATATGTTGTATTTTACATTACATTTGCACAATGTAATTTGTACTCTGATTATACTTGTACAATATATTTGCATTTGCTCATTTCTCTTCTATAAATAAATTTCGAACATTCTTCTTGCATAATACATTAGCATTTGAAAATGCATTTACATTTTAATCACTATATTTGCATAGCACATTTATCCTTGCATAATACATCTCACTCAATGTTCTTATATAATGCATTTTACACACCATTATTGTATAATGCATTTTACACGTGCAATACACTCATATGATATATCTTATAATTGTAATTAATATGCTGAGTGATATATTTAAATTTAAATTGGTGTGTATGATTCGCTTGCATAATCACTATCATTTATAATTTGACAGCGGCATAAACAATTTTGTTATTTCTTAACACCAACTTTACTCCTTAGTATTAGTATATTAATTTTCTCTAGATTAGGAGGCTTGTCCCTACAAATAACATACAAGGCCGGATTTGCATGCATCATATGTCAAACCAACTCCAAATTGAATCATGTTATTTTTAAGCAATCAAACTATTTTGCCTCATTTCAAATCAATTGAAATGGTACATGATTTAAAAAATTAGCTTAATGGCAATTTTTCTTTTTTTCAATTAATTGTAGGGGACTTTTATTGTTAAAATTTTCGACAAACTTCTAGCATCTCGCCTGTGTAGGGGGTGTCAGGTAAGCATTTGTCTTTTGTTATTTCCGGCCAAATCAAAGGTACTCTTCATATAATTCATGTTCTTCCCAGTGGGATCAAAGATACAATAAACATGGGATCGTTTTAGTTCTTATTCTTCTCCTGGTCAGATCAAAGATATGACAGATGCGGGTTCTTTATATAATTTTCAATCTTCTAGGCCAAATTTAAGATCAATGGAACGCGGGTCCTCGATGCCTATTGTTTAAGCAAGCAAGAAAGAAATTTATACCTTTAGTGTAAGACAAGCGACGACAATAATTGGGATTTGACAAGTTAAAAACTCTTTTTTCTAATTTTTTATATCTATAATAATATATAAATATATATTGGTAGAGAGAGAACATGTGGTTGGATGGCTGGGGCATCGAGAGTAGAGAAGACAGTCGAGAGTCTGGGGTGATTGAGTTCAATAGAGTGAGATTGAGAGAGGGGCGTGCGAATAGAGAAGGGAGATGGAGTCTTCATATAGGTGAGACCGGCAATTTACTGCAGGGTTTAGCTGGCACTTGTAGGAGGATGATGGAATGGTGGTCGAGACAGCAGACTGGGGACGAAAAAGTTTTTTTAAGCTAGTACTAA